ATGCCTACGCCCACGCCCACGCCCACGCCCACGCACACGCAAACGCACACGCACACGCGCACACGCACACGCACACACACGCGCGCGCGCGCGCCCACATGCACACACGCACACACGCACACACGCACACACGCACACACGCACACACTCACACACGCACACACGCACACACGCACACACGCACACACGCGCACACGCGCACACGCGCACACGCGCACACGCGCACACGCGCACACGCGCACACGCGCACACGCGCACACGCGCACACGCGCACACGCGCACACGCGCACACGCGCACACGCCACACGCGCACACGCGCACACGCGCACACGCGCACACGCGCACACGCGCACACGCGCACACGCGCACACGCACACACGCACACACGCACACACGCACCACACGCACCACACGCACCACGCGCACCACGCGCACCACGCGCACCACGCGCACCACGCGCACCACGCGCACCACGCGCCACACGCGCCACACGCACACGCACACGCACACACACACACACGCACACGCACACGCACACGCACACGCACACGCACACGCACACACACACACACACGCACTCACACACGCACGCGCACACGCACACGCACACGCACACGCACACGCACACGCACACGCACACACACATGCACACGCACACGCAGACTACACGCTACATGCTACACGCTACACACGACACACTACACACTACACACACACTCTCACACACACTCTCTCACACACACACACACACTGTGTGTTTTTTTACCCCCCCGTGGGGGGTCCTTTGGACGCCGAAACTGCCGAGCACACTTCCTGGGAGTTAACGTCGTTCAGTTGGTGGCGGCGGCGGCGGCGGCGGCGACGACGACGACGAACCCCCCTCGGCGACGATGACGACGCCTTCGATTTCAACGTCGGGTTTTCGATGTTCTCCAGGTTCTGGGTTTTGTGGGTTCGTTCTCCACGTGCTCCGGGTTTCGAGGTTTTTCGGGTTCTCCGGGTTCTTTGGTATCTTTGAGTTCTTGAGTATGTCCAGGTTTTCCAGAATTTCTGGGTATTCAAGGTTTCTTTGGGTTCTCTCCGGGTTTTCCGGGTTACACGGGTTTTCCTGATTTTCCAGGTTCCCTACAGGTCTGCGGGTTCTCTGCAATTTTTGGTCTTTTGGGTTCTGCGGGTTCTCCGGGGTCTCGAGTTTCTCGGTCTCTTCCGTGTTCTATGCTGGGTTCTCCGGCTTCTTCGGGTTATCCGCATGGTGAGCTCGGGAACCCCCCCCACCGGGCCCCCCTTGGTCGCCCCCCTCTCTAATCGGATTTCAGACCCCGGGGGAGGACAGCCAATCATCTCACACGCAAGCGGGGGCTGGCGGAATTTCGCATCTGAGGGCCTCGGTGAAAGTCGTCTTGGGTGTTTTTGATGCTTCTTGTGGCCTCTTGGGGCATGTTGGGGAGATTTTGGAGACTGTGATGGCTCGTTTAGCCGAATTTGGATGGTGTTGGCGCGTCTTGCAGCCAGTTGGTTTCGGTCGGCTGCCTTGGAGCTGTCTGGAGGCGAAGATGGCGCCAAACAGCCACATCAGGGGGGGATTCTCTGAGGATGGTCGCAACCAGGGGGGGGGCCGTAGAAACACTTCGGAGACCCCGCTGGGCAACAGACAAGTATTCTAACACGCCGCAGCGTACCGCAGGCACGGTGGCGGATTTCCTCGGTTACCTTCTTCCTCTTCTTTCCAGAGGATGGGGTCGACTACCCCTTCTTCTGCAAGCTGGTCTGTGACCAGGACCAGTCTAGCTGCTATTGCACGGACTCAGAACTCGCGGTCATCCTGCCCATTCTTCTCGGATCTTCTTTGTTTCTTTCTTTTCTCATCATCCTTGTTCTTGTCTGGAATTCGCCTCAATCGTTGTCCTCACGTTCCGGAGATGAGCATCATCGTTGAGCAAGGGAATGGGGACGTGGCTGGCAAACCGCTGCAAGCTAGTGTCGAAGTCTGCGCAGGCCATGGCTCCCCCTTGCTCCGCACGTTCGTTATCCTCTGTTTTTCGGCGCTGGACTTCAGCATGACAATTGACGGAACTGGCTGTAGCCCCATCTCCAGTGCTATCTTGGTATAGGTATCAGCGACCCTCCCGCCTCTCCTCGGCCAGTTCAAGCCCTTCACCGACCGTTTTCGCATTTGCTCGGCGCCTCGGTGAAGCTCGGTCGCATCGGCGCCACGGGCGCGCAGGTCAGCAGCCTTTGCGACGCCAGGGCCGCCACAGACATGTGCACGCGCGAGTCTGAGGAGAATGTGGTAGAAGGTTCCCCAGTGGCTAGACGCTGCCGTGGCGCATTCCTAGGATGGGGCAATCTGCTGCCCAATGGCACAGGCCAAAGGTGAGACGTGGCCCAGTGGTAAAACCTTAACGTTATATGCCGTGGTTAAGAGTTTTACCCTCTCTTCGCAGCCGTGGCTTTCGGGACGTCCTCCACGCGGCCCGAGCGGACGCGAAACGTTATATGCCGTGGTCAAGAGTTTTACCCTCTCTTCGCCGCCGTGGCTTTCGGGACGTCCTCCGCGCGGCCCGAGCGGACGCGAGCTCTCGGCCCCGCCGGCGCTCGGCCCGGAGCGCGGGCGGGCCGAGGCCCGGGAGCCGCAGCCGCTCCGGCGTGGGGCCGCGGGTGGCAGCGCCCGGAGCGGCAGGTCGTGCGCGAGCAGCATTCGGGCGAGGTCCTCGTGCCTGGCCTGCAGTCAATCACCACCCACCAAACCACCCCAACCCAACCCGAAGGCCTCAATTTGCCCTCCATTTCCAGTTGGGGGGGGGTCGGGGAACATCGAAAAAGCACGTATGGAACCCATACCCCCCCCAACCCGAAATCCGGGTCTTCGGGTTGCGTTGGGGTGGTCTGGTAGGTAGTCAGTCAAAAACCCCAATATGAGGACGCGCGACTTTGCTCAGGGTGCCCTTGCTCTTCCTTGCTCCTCCTTGCCCTCGCGTCCTCGAGGTCTTCGTCGTCCGCCGCCCCAGAGATCCCAACCTCGGCCTCCAAGGGTCTCGCGTCCTTGCCGCGCGTCCTTCTTAGTAGGGTTTTTGACCGTACCCTTGCGTCCTTGCTCTTCCTCGCTCTCGCGTCCTCGAGGTTTTCGTCGTCCGCCGCCCCAGAAATCCCAGCTTCGGCCTCCAAGGGTCTCGCGTCCTTGCCGCGCGTCCTCAGTAGGGTTTTTGACTATTCCCGAGGCATGGAGCACCGTCATCTGAGCCGAGGCTCGCACGCGTCTCGCGGAGCTGCTCGCCGGCTCTCGTAGGGGGGCCTCTCGGGCCGTGGGGCTCTCGGGTTGTGGGCGCTGTTTCTGCCTCCGACGTCGTGCTCCCAACCATTTGCAAGGAGCCATTTCTCAAAATATGTATGGGATGCATGTTGGGAGATCAGGAGCCATTTTTCCTACCTAAAAATCAAATGGACGTCGTGCTCCCAAGGGTTTGCAGTGACGAGTCGCGCCAGGCTGGGGGCCCCTGCCTACAGGATACCAGGCGCTCACGCACTGACGCCGCCGCCTTCCCGCGAACCTGTCGGCCGCGCGCATGGGGTCCTCCTCCTCCTCCTCCTCCTCCTCCTCCTCCTCCTCCGAAGTGTTGCTCCGAAGTGTTGCTCCCGAAGTGTTGCTCCTCCACTGAACGATGGCTCCGAAGTGTTGCTCCCGAAGGGTTTCGAGTTCCGCTACTCTACCGCATGAAGAAGTGGGGCGTCTCCGCGAGATGTTGTGCTCTTGATCTGGCTCCGATGGCGCTCCGTTGGCTCGAAAAGCTTGCCCCTTGCTGTGTTTTTTTTTTGTTTCGGTCTAAGAAACCTTCTCGAACGGCTGGTGCTGTTCTGCGCGTCTTCGGGGCCCCACGGTTCCGTGTGTCTTCTGCGGGGGACCTGGGGCCGACTCCTTCTTGCTTGCCTTTGCTGCCTGCTCGTTGTCGACTGTGCCCGGGCCTCTCTCCGGTGTCCTCCTTCCTTCCTTTCGCTTTCTGGTCCTGACATGGCTTCCATTGTCCCGCGGGCTGCCTCGAACCAAAGCGTTTTTGTTTTGTGTGCCATTTTCGTAGACCTGGCTGGCCTTTTCAGGGCTATCATGACTTGCGCTTCGCGCATTCTCACCAGCTCCTTTGTGGGGCTGGGCGGCTGAAGCAAAATATGCGTGCTCGCCTTAAGCAGTTCAAGAGGCGCTGCGCTCGGCTTGTACCCTTCATCCGGTAGTTCGTCTCGCTGCAGGGAGGACCTGGACTTTCCCTCTTCTCGCTGCTGTTGCTGCTGGCCCGCCTCCACCCCTTTTCGGTCGCGTGCCCTCCTCCTCCTCCTCCTCCTCCTCCTCCTCCTCCTCCTCCTCCTCCTCCTCCTCTCTGCTCTACGGCTGCCCTTCTGCCTGCTTCTTCTCTTGCATCGGGCCTGCCTCGTTGGCGTGTGCCCCATGATGGCCGACCGCCTCGGACTGCGTCCGCGCCGTTTGCCAGAGAGCCCCCAAGGGTTACGACGACAGCGAGCTCAAGGGACACATGACTTGGTCAGAGCGTATCAAAGCATGGCTTGTGGGGTGTCAAGTATGTGGCAGACAGCACGGGTCTTGTTTCGATCTGATCGAAAGGCGTGCCGCGTATGGTGTGTCGCGAATTCCTGGCTGTCTCCGCGGTCTCCTTTTTCCATCATTGTAGATGTGTCGCTACTCCTCCAATATCCATGACGTTTCCCCCGCATTCGTCGAACGCCAGCAAGGTCATGCCTTGCATGTAGATCAAGCGCGCACCGTGCTGCTACAACCTTTGCAAACCGTATCCTTGATGTGATGCGGGCTCAAGGCCGTAATTGGCGACTCCTTGGGCTCTCCACTGCAGGGGCACATATCGGCGCCTTCGACGGCTTGTTTGGAGCTGACCTGTCGTTTGAAACGCTAGCGGCCCAACTACGGGCCGAAAACAGGACGCACTTCAGATCAATGCATCGCGGTGGTGTTTACAAGCGCCGCCTGTTTTAATGCCAGTATGTATGTTCTCCTAAGTATCCATGCTGGTTGGATGAGTTTCGCTTGAGTATGCTGGCGCAGGGAGCAATCAAAACCGACACAACTTGCAGACCGCCCGCCCGCCGTGTTGCGTACGGTAGTTTGACTATTCGTTGGGCGGAGCTTGCGTGTTTAAACCCAGGACATTCATCAACACGCCCGCCATGTACTGCGGTTTGTGCACCACCGTTTCCCCGTGCCGCCCATAACGAGCCCGACGATCTGAATGACAGCGATGATGAGATGGCGGCTTTTGTGTAGAGTTCTACATGCATTTTCCCTTCATGTGCCATGCCATGGTCTTCGAGCCAAGGCATACCACGCACACATCAAACCACGCTTACCTTTATAAGAAACGTGGTGCATCGCTCCTTCAACCCCACCTTCACAACACATTCCCCACGCTTGAGGCCTAGTCGTTTTCATATCGTGCTAGGTATTGTTCTGGAACCTCGGAGGTTACTATTTACTCAAGTCGACTCTTAGGGGTGGTCTATCAACTCTATAAGTGAACAAAGTATTTGGACATGCAATTTTTGCGCGAGGGGCTCTGGGAGGCAACCGTGTTTGACCCCGACACGGCACTCGATTGTACTTGTGCAGGCGAGGATCCAAATGGGTTCACATGATTTGTGTGCGTGTGTGTGTGTGTCTATTTGCCCAGCAATGTGTTTGTCGATTCATTTGGTCGTGATCGGATTGTTGTCCTTGTCCTCTTGGTCTCTCTACCTGACTGACCCTTCTCTCCGCTTTTAACTCCAGGGGTTAGGAGCTGTGCGCGAGAGTTTTCTTATATTTCGCTCGCTCTCTGTCTTTATCTCGTTCTCTGCCTGTCTGTCTGTCTGTCTGTCTGTCTCTCTCTCTCTCTCGATCTTCCTGTCTCTCTCTTGCTTCTCTCTCGTGCATGTGCCACTGTTCTCTTGAGTTGATGCGGCTCAGGGGGTGTTCACCCATGGCATTCCTCCGAAGCTCTGACACTCATGCTTCGTATTTGCTCATTTGGGTTTCAATCAGCCTATGACACTAAGGGAGGGCGGGCGGTCTTCATAATGTAGCCCTCGACTTAGCGCCGCGCGTGTTCGTTTTGAAACATTGCAACACTTGCACGAGTGGATGGCAGTACGTGTTCAAAACGACTCTTTCGCTGGAGACATATTCAGACCTCATGCCACGAGCCAGGGATGTAAGCATCGTGCAACAACCACACGGATGGAGGGTGTTTGCTTGTCAAAGTTGGTTTCGTGTGAGGCTTCTTCAGGCTCAGTGGCAAGGCGCGTGGCAAACAGGTGCAGCAGCATCGTTGATGCATCTGTGGTTTCCCTTCACCCTCCCCCTCCCGTCTCCTGCCGCTCGTTCCCCTCGTCCAGCGCGCAAGGTCATGCTTGCCAAGCTGGGCGGCCCGTCTGTGGGCGTGCCGAAAGCGCACGGCGGCATGGGCCCACCCGTCACGGAGAAGGGCATGAGCAAGGCCGCCGGCCCACCCGCCGCCGACCGACAGGCCCTGGTCAGGAGCGCCTCCCCTCCCTGCCTCCCTCCTGGGCGGGGGTGAGGGGGATGCGGCCGACGATGAGGAGAAGGGCGGGGACGGAGCAGGAGGGAGGAGGAGGAGAAAGAAGGAGGAGCACGAGGAGGAGGAGGAGGAGAAGGAGGAGGAGGAGGAGGAGGAGGAGGAGGGGGGAAGGTAAGGTAGGTGCGCTCGCGTCATATCTGGCATCCTACCCCTCCCTCCCATCCCTTACCATGGCGCAGATCCCCTCTCTACTCGCACAGTCGGATGTCGAGCAGGGCAATGATCCCGAAAGGGTACGCGATGCATTGTAGAGCACGGCATGGCATGGCGTAGAAGAGCACCGCGAAGCGTAGTATGAACCTAACATTGCATTGCATGCCGTGGCATGGCACGGGAAATGATGCCAGCGCTGCAGCGGGAGCACGAGTCGAAACGAGCGGAAGCGCGGAAATGAGGCCCGCGCTGCAGCGGGAGCACGATTCGAAACGAGCGGAAGCATGCCGGAATCGGCCCGGGAGGCTTCCCGGGCGCCAGAAGCAGAAATTCAGCATTTTCAAAAGAAAAATATGTATTGGAATGGCCTTTTTTCGGCGTCGCCTCGGAACTCGATTTTCCGGCGCCGGCCGGAACTGGCTCCGGACCGGGCCTGGGCGCCAGCCAGGGCGCCGGCTCGGGCGTCCAGCCCGGGCGCCGGCTCGGGCGCCGGCCCGGGCGTCGGAATCGGGCGTGCAGGCGCTGGCGGAAACGAGGCCAGCGCTGCAGCGGGAGCACGATTCGGAACGAGCGGGGCCCGAAAATGAGGCCGGCGCCTCAGCGAGAGCAGCATTTTGGAAAAAATGCAAGCGAAAACCCAACTCCGGGGAAACCTGTGTGTAAAAAAACAGTACGCGGGGGGGGGCGGCTACTCCCAAGACGTCATCAGGGGAAGAGGGAGAGTAGTATTCATATTGAGTAATTGTAAAGGGGGGAAGGGAAAGGTGAGGGGAAGGGTGAGGAGAGGGGAAAAGACTGGGGAATGAGGTCATCCTTCTCCTTCCCCCTCGCTCCTCTGTACCTCCCCCTCCCCCTCCCCCTCGCCCTCCCCCTCATCCTCCTCCTTCTCCTCCCTCTCATCCTCCTCCTCTCCCTCTCCTCCTCTTTCCGTCCTCTGTCTCTCCTTCTTCTCCTTCTTCTCCCTCTCATTCTCCTCCTTCTTGTTCTCATACTCATCCTCCTACTCTTCCCGCTCCTCTGGCCAGGAGCGTCTTCCAGGCCTTTGACGTGGACCAGGACGGTCGCCTCAACAAGAAGGACGGGGCCAGGGCGCGATGCGGGTCCGCTGGTAATGCCCGAGCAGTCAGTGGCGGGAGACCCGCTGTCGCGACTGAACGTTGGGCGATAATGGCCTTCCTCAAGAGGCCCGTATGTGGTCGTCCCCTCCGCTGCCAGCATGGGTTCGTCGGCCTCGTTGCCAGGGTTGACCGCTTCGTCGGGCGTCGACCATTCGGGCGCGTCTTCCGAATTTTCGGCCAGGGCTCGCATGTCGGGAGTCTCCTTCCTCCTCTTCTTCCATGCTCTCTCCTCGCTCCTCCTTTGCGTGCGCATCGTGCCTGGGCGATGCCAGTCGGATACTGCCAGATGCCTCCAGTAGGATGCTCCATGCAGCAGTGCCAGTCACGAGGCAGGCTGCCCGAGACTGGACGTGGTGGTGGTGGTGGTGGTGGTGGTGGTGATGGTTGTGGTGGTGGTACCGCTGCTGGTGCTGTTGCTCTTTATCGTTTCTTTCTTCCTCCCCTCCCGTGGAAGGGGCGAGGGGCCGAGTAAACAAGCGAAAGCGGAGGAGGAGGAGGAGGAGGAGGAGGAGGAGGAGGAGGGGGAGGAGGGGGAGGAGGGGGAGGAGGGGGAGGAGGGGGAGGAGGGGGAGGAGGGGGAGGAGGGCGAGGAGGGCGAGGAGGAGGAGGAGGAGGAGGAGGAGGAGGAGGAGGAGGAGGAGGAGGCGGTGAACCAGCTCAGCCCCCTCGCCGGGGGAATGGAAACACAGATGCTGCGGGTAGCTGCCGGCGTGGGGCGGGCAGTTTTGGTTGTGTGTTCGTGTGCGGCGCCTCCCTCTTGGAATCATGCGCAATTCGGCCGGTGGCAATCAGCGGGCCAAGCGATCGGAGATGCTGCCCAGAGCGCGGGCCGCCAGGAAATGCGCGCGTTCGCCGAGAGCACTGGGTTCGACGGGGGCGACGCAGCTTGGGACGAGGCCTATGAGGTGCTCTGCAAGGATGACGCTGGGCGCCGTCCTGGGGAGGTGTCATAGAGTCTCTCGTGCGGGGTTGGAGAAGGGGGAGGGGATTTTCGGAAAGATAGGTGCGCTCGTATCACATTCGGCATCCTGCCTTTCCCTTCCATCCTGTCCCATCGCCCTGTCCCTCCCCGTTCGCCGAGTCGGGCTATAGATCGAGAAGGGGATCCGAGGATAGCAGCTGCAGTTCTTGAGCACATCGCCTGTCGTAGGACGGTCGGGTGAGGCCAGACGGGGCGAGGAAATGCGTAGGGAGCAAGGCCGTGCACCAGACAGGCAAGTTGATACCGAAGCGGTCCAGGTGCCGAGGCGGGAGCGCCCGCTGGAACGACGGAGCACACTCCGAGTCCAAGAGCACATACAGTCGGGGCCCTGAAGAAGGACCCTTTTCGTTGGGGAGGGGCTCGGTGTTCCTTGATTGTTTCACAGTTTGCCTCGGGTTTTCCCTTGGTTTTTGTATGGGAAATCGAAGTTCAACTTATGAAAAAGAGGGGCCTTGTTCCTTATTTAGGGTTCCTTAGGTCAACGCCCCGACTGTACGAGTGACTGGGGGGGGGATTGTCGGCAGTCTGCGAGGCTTGACAGCAAATCCGACGAAGCCCGCCGCAGGCGCCAACATTTGACACGCTACACAACGAGCCCGTCGCAGACGCTGATTTTTCGACAAAACAATGTGGGTGGGTCGCGGCTGGATCGTGGATGGGTCGTGGTTGGGTCGTGGGCGGGTCGCGGGTGGGTCGCGGATGGGTCGCGGATGGATCGCGGGCGGGCCGCAGACGAGGATGACAACAACACAATAGCACAAGGCACAATATAATCCGCAACGTGGCTCCTCACTTCAGCCACGCACCCGTGGGCAATGTAAGACTGGTCGGCCCCTTCACTTTAACGTACATCATTCTTCGAATGTCTAAGTGTGGAAGCCAGTATGCGAGAGGGGGCGAGTCACCGAAACGGCGTCGTCGGGGGAGATGGGGGACCAGTGCTCATCATGAACAATTGTTGGAGGGGAAAGGCACCGAGGGGGTGGAGAGAGGAAATGAGGCATTGGAAGGGCATGCCCTTCCCTATCCTTCCCCACTCCCCTCTCCTCCCTTTCCCTTCCCTCCCTTCCCTTCCCTCACCTCCTCCATCCCCCTGGCCAGCGGATGCTTTCGGATACCTGGGACGGTATACACACCCACTACGGCCGCCAGACTTCGACGAGAGGTACTCGGCTGCAGCGTTGGCGTCTGAATCAGCTGTCTGTGTGCTGAGCAGGGGCCTTTTGAGATCGCACAATTCGCAAGGTTCGCTTTCTTTTTTCTTTTTTTTGTTTCCAATCTCCGTCCCCCATCCCCCCCCCACGCCCCAGCGACCTCCCCCTCCTCCCCTGTCCCCCCCTCGCCCCCGAGAGTGCAGGCCACGGCCTGCCGCAATCTGGGAGGAGCTCGGGGACACCAGGGCGGAGCCTGTCGCGCGCAACGAGCCGCAGGGGCCAACCGCGGCGCACCGGACGGCGGCACCACCGTCCCATCCAGCGAAGCACCTGGCTCCGCTGCGCAAGCAGCGAGCGGCGGGCACTCCGCGCCACCCGCGGGGCCATCGGCCCGGCCACGAGCGCCGCCGCCGCCGCAAGGGCCCATGTCTGTGGAACGGGTGTGCTAAGCTTATCGGCGGGCCCGTTGGCTACGAGTTTCTCCGAGTGCGGTCGCGAACGCTCTGCCGTCGAGACGGACCGTTCCGCAGCAGGTGCAGCCAGCCAGCCCGACGGTCCGCCGGGACCCTGACCTGCCGAGCGGCGCGCCCCGAGAGGGCGTCGAGAGGGCGGCTGGCCTTTTCGGCGGCCGACGCACGGGCGGCGCACGGGCGACGAGTGCGCGACGCACCTCCTGTCGCGAAGGGGGGGGGTCAGCACGTCGGTCGCTTTACTGGGCCTTCACAGTCAGACCCGAGGCCCACCAGCACCGCGGGGCCCTGCCTGCGGAAGGACGGGCGCACTGGCGACCACGGGTGCCAGCAGGACGAGATGGACAGTGAGGCCAGCGATGAGGCAGGCCTTGGCGCGGGACCCGACGAACCCGCCGCGCTTTCGCGTGCCCGGCGACGACGACGGCGGCGACGGCTCTCTCCTTCGTCGTTTCGACTGCCGCCGCCACCGTCGTGCGGGCCGTCGCCGTCGTCGTGTCGTTCCCTTCGTCCTCCGGCTGGCCGCCGCTGCTATTTGGTACAGTTTTTTCCGGCCGGATTTGTACCCCCCTGGCGCAATTTTCGGGCCCCCTAAGGGCGCGGGCGGTCGAGGTTGAACGCCCCATATGCTTATGTAGGCCAGTCCCGTCCTTGCGGACTCGCCGCGCGACCAGAAGAGACCCGAGCTCCGCGGATGAGGACGGCCCACAGGTGGCCAATCTTGCTCGCATCAATGTCACCAGCGTCGACACAATCTGGGACGTTTTGGTTTCATTCCGAGAACACCACTGGAAACCCGACACCCCGCTGAACGCATCCACGCCTTCGACAGGGACATCCAATCGCCAGAGAACGGAGCTTGGCGACTTGCCTGGGTGCGGAGCCCCGACGTTGATTACGTCCACCATAAAGGCAACGGGGGTGGACAAACCACAGGGTCCGATCCACCGCGGTTAAGCTCGGGGGGGGAGGGGAATGCCGCGCAAGGCGCCCCTGTCGACGCCGCCAGAGACGACCCCGCGGTTTCGGCCCTCTTCGCGACCACGCGATGGATTGAAGCTCGCTGCCCCGCCCTCTCGTCGAGCGCCACCAGGCGTCGCGGGAGGCGCAGGCGTGGCCCCAGTGACCTGACCGGGGGCATCTTCGTTGCGTCTGTCTATGCCTACTCGGGGGCGGACAACGCTGCGCTCTTCCACCGGGTCTGGGAGGCCGCCGACAGGGTTGGTGATGTGCCGCTTCTCATTTGCACGGGCGCACAGAGCGACGTCAGGGATGTGGCCTTCCCGCCCAGATTTGCAACCCGGAGTGGTCAAGCGTCGCCGCTGGAAACCCAGGCGTCAAGGCTTGCGCCCGCGGCCAAGACATCGACTGGGATCGGAGAACGAAAAGGGCGGGGGGGGGGCCCGATCGACTACGTGCTGACTAACGCCCGAGGCAGACAGCTGGTCACCAGCATCGTCCTGCTCCGCGATTCCCCCACCGAGCAACGCCCTGGTCTGCTAGGTTCTCTCAACCCGGGCGTCGCCAGGCAGCCGGCGAGAAGATTCGGGGCGGTCATGACGTGCCCATATGCCTGTCGAGCTACAGAGGGTGATGAGCAACGCGCAGTCGAGCAATCGCACCTCGCGCAAAGGGACGCTGCTAGCGCAGCCGACGACGTCGATGAGCTCGGCGGCCTTGCCGACCCAACTGCGCGCGAATGCCGCAACGAATTCCGTGCCAGAAGCCCGCCGCTGTCGCATCACAAGCCAGTCGCCGTGCATAAAACGCAGTTCCTATCACTCGCGACCTGCTGCGCGGCCCTGCTGCTCAGCCCAGAGCGCGGGGGTTCGGTGACCGAGCGGCGAACGATTTGAACAGGCTTCCAGGCGGTGTAGACCCCTCCTCCTCCTCCTCCCCCTCCTCCTCCTCCTCCTCCTCCTCCTCCTCCTCCTCCTCCTCCTCCTCCTCCTCAAGTGGACTGGGTGCTCCTCTCGCCAGTGCGTGGGCGCCCGCGGCGCCGGCCGTGCCGGCCTCCTTGGCAGAACGCGACAAAAGCACCCGGGCGGCAGCGCGGGTGCTCGCCGCGCGGCGCGCGCGCCGCCGGGCGCCGACGAGGGGGGCCCGTGCGGGGGCGGGGGGGGGGGCGTGCCGGCGCGGGGGGGGGGGGCGGGCCGGCCCCACCGCTGCGCTCAGCGGCTGCCACCGACGGCGGCAGCGACGGCGGCGGCGCCCAGGCCAGGGGCCACCTGCGAAGCCTACCCCTGCCCCCCACGAGTTCGGGAGGGGGAGGGTGGGGTTCCTTCGCCCGCCCTCCCCCTCAGAACTGGTGGGGGGTAGGGGTAGGGTTCGCACGTGGCCCCCTACAGACGGAGCCAAACCACATCCACGCGGACACCCGTGCCACGATCAGACTCATGACCGAAGCATGGGGGCCCGCCCCGGGCAGGCGGTGCATCTCCGGGGGGCCGCGAGGAGGCAGCTGCGCCCGCGCGGGAGGCCATCGAGCGAAGTGCCGTCGGGAGCTGTTGGCGCTGATGCCCGCCGAGCCTCTCCTCCTCGCGGCCGAAGGCCCCGTGCATTTCATCGGGGCGAGACCAGCCGCCAGAGCCAGGGGCTTCGACGGGTGGGCCGCAAAAGAGGCCCTGGCGCTCCCCCACGGAATCTCGCGCATCCTCGCCAAGGCGCTCCGCGCCGCGCGGCGGGCGGGAAAAGTGCCCGAACCGCTCTTCCGCATGCGCTGCCCAGTCTTGCGGAGAGGCAACGGCGAGCTTCCCGCGGACCAAAGGCTTCCGTCCGCGATCTGCATCTGGATGCGCGCCTGGGAAACGTCAGCATACCGCGCCCGGGCATCCTGCAGAGCGCGCTGGACGCGCCCTGCCAGTTTCGGGGCTATCCCCCACGCCGCCATCGGCGACGCCATTTCGACGCTCGCCCTCCAGGTAGAACGCGCGCGGCACCTCTAACTGCCGCTGGCCGGAGCCGCGCTTGACATGCAGAAATGCTTCGACTTCCGCGTTGCCGACGCGGGCGGACATCGCCCAGGCGGGGCGCAGTCTTCTTCTTAATCGCTGTCGTTGCGCCCGCGTGGGGCGCGCCGAGTCTCCGCCCCCCCAGACCCCCGACGTCATGAATTTTTCATGACGCGACCCCCAGAGGTCCAGACCCATTCCCCGGGACCGGTTTTTCGTCCTGAGTCGTTTTTTGACGCTCCCGAGGGCCGGTGAGGGCCCCCAGAGGCAGAAAATTAGCGAAAAACCTCATGTCGTGATTTTTTCATGACTCGAGGGGGTCTGGGCCTGCAGCGCGCCAGCAGGCATCTTCAAGGCAGCTCTGCCTCACTGGGCGACGACGTCGGACCTCCCGCGTGCGCCCGGGCAAGGCGACAGCGCGGGCGCGCACGATCGACGGGCTCTTGCGAGCCCGAGAGGCCTGGAGCTGCCTGCGACAGGCTTTGCAGCAGGCAGTGGCCATGGGGGCGTCTCTCCACCCAGACCCCCGACGTCATGAATTTTTCATGACGTCGACCCCCAGCGGTCTGGACCAATTCCCTGGGACCAGTTTTTCGTCCTGAGTGGTTTTTTGACGGTCTCGAGGGCCGGTGAGGGCCCCCAGAGTCTAAAAATAGTGAAAAACCTCCCGTCGTGATTTTTTCATGACTCGAGGAGGTCTGGGCACGGCAACCCCCAAGCCTCCACTGACGCTCAACATGCAGCACACCAGTGCTGGACCCCCCTCTCCACCAGAGGGCGACACGAACACTTGGCACCCGATCCGTCGCTCGTTCTCCCGGGGCCGCTGCGGGGGATGCCCCGAGGCGGTGCCTTTCGCTCCTTCGGCCACAGCAGCGCACATGCCAGAGCGTGCTGAAGCAGAACACCTCCTGCAGCCGCGGGTGCGCAGACGACCCCCGAGTGGCCTGATCGCCCGTGCTCGCCCGGCTTTCCAGCCGGGGCCCCACCGCGCCGCGCCAGGGGGGCAGGTCATCCCATTACAGTCGGGGCGCTGAAGAAGGAACCCTTTTCGTTGGGGAGGGGCTCGGTGTTCCTGGAGTGTTTCACACCTTGCCTCGGGTTTCCCTTATGTCTTCGATGGGAAATCCAAGTTGAACTTATGGGAAAAAGGGGCCTCGTTCCTTATTTAGGGTTCCTTAGGTCAACGCCCCAATTGTACCCCTGCTTCGCAAGCGGCTCCTCCCGCCCTGGTGAGGAAGACCTGCGGGGCGCTCGCAGCCCAGGGGCCTGGACGGACCGGCTGCTCGAAGTGGTGCGCTCTCCCCCACTCCTCTTTATCCCTCTCCTCTTCCCCCTCCTCTTTATCCCCCTCGCCCCCTCCTCTTCATCCCCCTCCTCTTCCCCCCTCCTTCGCCCTCCCCTCACTTCCCCTCCTCCCTTGCATGCCTCCGCTCTCCTCCTCCCCTCCCCCCCTTCCCTTCTCGACACTCCCTCCCCTTCCGAGGAGAAGAAGAGGGACCCGGCGCTTGGCGTCGACCTGAACTTCTTCTCCTCCCTGGTGAACGACAAGGAGGACGCCGCCGGCTGCTACTGCACCGACGTCGAGCTCAGCTCCGCGATCACCAAGGCCTCCTCGGCGTCCTCCCTTCGAGTTCGGTCTCCAGCCGTGGCGAAATGGTTGACGCTTCGCGAATCCCAACCGGCCCATCCAGAAGCGATGCCCAGAGGAATGGCCTCGATCAGGGAAGCGGGCGGCACACAGAGGAAGCCATGATGAGACAACTTGGGATTCTTGAGCCACCTCACCTCGGAGGTCATTTTAGGCTCTCCCAGGCGCTCTTGATCTTGATCAGTGCCCCCCCCCAAGAGGCCAACATGGGGCTAACTGAAACTTTCGTAAAATCAATGATTGGCATTCTCGCCGAGGCCTCTTGGGTCATCTTGGGTGCCTCTGGGGGGTCTCTTGGGGGTCTCTTGGGGGCCTCCTGGGGGCCTCTTGGGGGCCTCTTGGGGCCATCTTGGGGCCATCCTGGGACCTCTCGGGACCTCCCAAGCGCTTCTTGGGGCCATCTTGGAGGAGATCGATCAAACAAGAGGGGAGCATTAATTAGCGCCCAGCGCCCCCCCCCAGGAGGCCAAAATGGCGCCCAAACCCGAGTAAAACCAGTGATTTGGGCTTCTTCGCCGAGGCCGTTTTGGCATTCTCGCCGAGGCCTCTTGGAGCATCTTGGGGGGTCTCTTGGGGCCTAGAGGCCAAAATGGGGCCAAAACCTTAGTACAACCAGTGATTTTGGCTTCCTCGCCTAGTCCGTTTTGGACGTTCCGACGACTCGCGGAAGCCCTCGTCCAGGTCCAAGATGGCCCCAGAGTCGCCCAAGACAGCCCAACAGAGCCCCAAGACGGCCCAAGCGGGCCCCGAGTCGTCGAAAGACCGCTCCAGGACGCCCAAGATAGGCCCCAGACGGCCCGAGAGGCCCCCCAAGGCACTCCACGACGCTTCAAGACGCCTCTCCAGAGCGCTTCAAGAGGCCGAAATCGTCAATTTTACGAAGGTGTTCGAACGATTTTGGCCTTCCAGCCTTTTCGGCTGTCCGACGTTCCAAGACGGTAGCCCCTTTTCACAAGTCGACTCCGACGTGGTCGGCAGGAGAGCGGAGTAAAATGCTGGCGGCTTCGAGCCGTGGATCGTCCATCTGCGTCGCCGTCTGCTCTCTCTCCTTTCCCGGCCCCCTGGTGGGCGCATTAGAAGTCAACATATCCATAGTCCCACACTCTCAGACTCCACGCATCCACGCGGCCCTTCATCCATGCCCGCGCGCGCCCATAGCTGCATGCACCTGCATGCGTTCAGAGTTTTATGCTTCCACTCCTCCGCACTCTCTTCTTATCCATACCACCATTCCTCCATACATCCATACCTCTACCTCCATACCTGCTCTGCGCAAGCAATATTCTAATGCATTCTTTGTACATCACGGCCCAATTGGCTGGCGTTTGTCGCGTCGACGGGCGGCTTTGGACGCGAGTAATTTGACCCGCACCCGCGCGACTGGAAGGAAAAAAGCTCCTCTCTCCCCTCCGTGTCCTCCACTCCTTCCGTCTCTCCCCTTCCGTCCCGTCGTTCCTTCCCGCTCCCTCCCCCCTACTTTCAGAGTTTGGCTGCCACGCGCAGTTCCCAAGCCGAGTCGACGCTCTTTCGACGGAGAAGGAGGAGGAGGAGGAGGAGGAGGAGGAGGAGGAGGAGGAGGAGGATTACGCTTGTAAGGATTACGCAGTGTGGCCGTCCACGCGGCACAGCTCGCAGCTCGGCATCGCAGCACCAAGGGGAAAGTCGAAACCAACACCAAGACCCTGGCGCCGAGAGAGCAGTCTTCAAATTCATCCAGCGTGCTCCGGAAACGCTCTGCCGGAGCACGCTGGCACGCAAGGAATCCACCAACCCTGCCAGGGGGCCATAAACCACGAAACCATCGATTAGCAGGTGGCTCGGCAACACGCCGGCGTTAAAACTGTTAAACAGATTCCGGGCGTTCCGGGGGTTCAAGAGGTAGCGGAATCGGCTTCAATTCTCAGGCGCATCTCACGCCAAATTTGGCGGGCACGGATCGTCCTCGTCCGCGCCGCCGAAAAGCCACTCTGCTGCCTCGTCCTCTGGGTCGAGGGGCCTTGCCGCACCGTCCTGAGCTCTCGACGCAGCCACAGCCGATGGGGCAGGTCCTCGGGCCCCAGGGTTCCCCGCCACAGTCGCTTTGGCCACCTCTTCAGCACAAACGCGCGCATGCAACGCCTCGAGGACCGATGTAGGAGGGCCCTCGCGGCGTAGGTACTGGTCTCGCCTGATGCGAGCTAAATTCTCGGCTCCTTTCCGTGATCTCCCAAGGCATCTGGCCTCGAGATGTCTGAAATCTTCCGTCGCATACCTACCGCATTCGTGGCAGAACACCATACAGTACTTGGGCCACTCTCCAAGTCTGTGAGTGCTGTGCAGCTCCCTCCCGCCCAGGCCCCTCAAAACACCCTCGCCCACAGCCCTGGGGGCCCTGTTCAGGACGGGAGGGGGTGGGACAGGCGGGGCTGGCGGAGGTACGCACGCAGTGCTGCAGAACTCCAGCAGGCTCGAGGCATGCACTCGCTGGTTGCACACCTCGCATCTCCATTTAGCGCCGTCCTGGGCCATTTGGTGGCCCGTTTCGCGGAGAGCTATCTTCACGCCGCCCTCGCGGGCCCCACGAGGCTCGATATCTTCGCGCTCGGCCCGGGTCGTGTCGCAGTCCAGGGCAAGTTGTGAGGCCTTGGACGCTCGACGTCTGACAAGAGCGGCAACAGCATCCCAACTGTCAGCGTGGGGAGCAGCATGCATGACGAATCCCTCCCAAGCCCGCTCCGCCGCCTCCCCCGCCCCATGGTCGGCCGTGGCATTGCCCACAGCAAGGAAGAGGTCCCTGTCTGTGGCCAGACGACCCGCGTCCTCCTCTTCAGCGTGAGAGGGGACCCATTCCAGAGAGACCTCGCGGCCTTCGGCCGCCGCGCGAATTCTCGCCCAGAGATCCTCGTTGGGCCCCCTGGTGGCCTTGCGCCTTCTCCCGGGCCAGGCTTTTAAAAGACCCTGATGGTCCGTCACGAAGTGCACCGATCCCGTAGTCTGCTCAAGGGCCATCGCCAGGGCTAGCGTCTCCGATCGGGGCACAGACTGTCGGCAGCCAGGGAGCGGCGCGGCTATCATCGCCCCCAGGCACCAGATATCTGAAAGAGCGTGTTCTACCGCTGCTGGCGGAAAACTGGGGGGGGTCACTACCGGTTCGAACCCCTCCCCCCCCCCCCCCCCTCCGGAAAACCGGGGGGGGTCACTACCGGTTCGAACCCCTCCCCCCCCCCCCCAGCTCATCATGAAAAGGGGGGGGGTCACTACCGGTTCGAACCCCCCCCCCCCCCTCGAAAACCGAGTGGGGGTGCGGACAGTGGTGGGGACGGTGTTGGTGGGGACAGTGGTGAGGGGACAGCGGGACAGTGGTGGGGACAGTGGGGGGACAGTGGGACAGCGGTGGGGACGGTAGTGGTGGGGACAGTGGTGGGGACAATGGTGGGAACAGGGGGGACAGTGGACAGTGGTGGGAACGGTGGTGGTGGGGACAGTGGTGTGGGGACAGTGGGAATGAGGTGGAAACACTGGGACAGTGGAGGGTACAATGGTGGTGGGGACACTGGTAAAGGCGTCGGCGAGGACGGCGGTGGGACAATGGGACAGAGGTACAGTGGGGACAGTGGTGGGGACAGTGGGGACAGTGGTGGGAACAGTGGGACAGCTCAGTGGGACAGCGGAGGAGTCAGTGGGACAGTGGGGACAGTGGGGATAGGCAGTGGTTGGGTCCGTGGAGACAGTGGGGAGAGTGGAACCGTGGTGGGAACAGTTGTGGGAACAGTGGGGACAGTGCGACAGTGGTGGGGGCACTGGTGGGGACAATAGGGACGGTGGTGGAACCAGCGGGGGCAGTGGTGGTGAGGACAGTGGTGCTGGGAACAACAGTGGGGGATGTCATGCGAGCGGTGGTAGGGACCGGGAGTCGTTTGCTGGCGGTGCGTGGGGGGGAGGGGGTCGAACCGGTAGTGACCCCCCTCCGGTTTTCGACGGGGGGGGGTTTCCAACCGGTAGTGACCCCCCCCGGTTTCCGGATCCGGAGGGGGGGGGGGGGGGTTCGGGTAGTGACCCCCCCCGGGGGGGGGAGGGGGGGGGGGGGGAGGGGTTAGGGGGAGGGGGGGGGGTTTGGGGGGGGAGGGGGGGGGGGGGGAGGGGTTCCAGCAGGGGGGGGGGGATTTTCGGAGGGGGGGGGGAGACCCCCGGGTTCCGGAGGAAAAGGTGGGCAATTTTCCACAGTAAAGCGGCGGTGGATCACGCTCTCTCATATATCTTCACGCCAGGCCAGGGCAGCGACAGCAGCTCCACACCTATGGCGACGCTGATCGTCCGAGTGCTTCCCTCCCGACCCGTCCCCAAAGAGCGTCAAAACCCCGTCCCTCCGATAGTCACCCAGCTCACCTACCCCAAAAAACACGGTTTCCTGAGCCAATCGCTCTTCATCGAACTTGGGGGTGGTAAGGTGGTTTGGCACTAGGCCTCGCAGCCAGACCGAGGGCTCATTCTCTACACTGGCCAGCGCCCTCGCCACCAGGTGCTCCGACTTGGCGAACTCACTGCCCTCGCTGATGTTCTCCGTGCACTTCCAGATCCTGTGGGTCAGCGTCTCTGGCTCCAGCCCGCATCTCGGGCATGTGGCGCTGACGGCATAGCCGCACCCTCGCTTCCTGGCGCGGCTCCACTGGCCGCCACTTATCACCGCCATCGTGCGACTCCACTCCGCCCACATGCCTCTTCGAGCATATCGGTCGAGCTCGCGCCTCGCATGCAGCATGTCCGCGCCGCTCCCCAAGTTGCCGCCGTTCTCGTGGGCCGCCGCCTGCTTCCACAGCTGGCGCATGATGTCCTCGCGGAGGTCGTGCAGGATGGGCTGCCGATTGATGAAGCTCCCAAAGGCCTCCGAGCTGAACTTCACCAGGTGCCACTCCGTGATCGTGCCGTCCACCTCTGGCCTGCTCCACGTGCCAGCAGTGCGCGGATCCCAGCCCACGTCCATGAGCGTTGCCACGAGCGCGCCGACGGGGCCATGCACGCGCCGCCAGCGCCGGGCTGCACCGGCGCTCAGGAGCGCGCCGCGGATGGCAGGCCAGACTCTACGGATCCTCGCATGGACCTCAGGCGCCGTCTCCCAGAGCTCCAGCCACGAGTCTGCCAACTGGATGCGCATCTTGATGGCTGGGTCCTCCTCAAGCCCCGCCGCCAGGACCGCGGTGAGGCAGCGTCCGCCAGCTTTGCCTCCAACTGCCGCGCCCGCCTGCTGCCTCAGCTTCCTGACGCTCGACGGCGCCAGGCCCTGGAGCTGGTGGCCGTAGGTGGCCTGTGGAGAAGCCCCCGTGCTCCACAGCCCCTTCGCCTCCTTGGCGAGAGCCGCGCTCCTCCTCATTCTCGTGATGCGGCTAGCGCGCTTGCCGGCCGCCAGCAGCCTCTTGCGCTGCTTCTTGCAGCAGCGCCTCCGCCCAGCTGCCGCGTCGCCGCCCAGGTCAGTGGCGTCCAGCGCCAACTGCAGCGGCAGAGCAGGCGACTCCAGTTCCGCCTGTAGCTCTTGGCCCAGCTGCGTGTCCGACGCCAGCAGCTTGGTCTTGTTCGAGATGATCAGACCTCGCTCCTCGACGAAGCCCGCCACCAACTGGGTCGCCACCTGCTTCATCTCCTGCTTCACCATCTGACGAGATCCCTCGCACCGGGCCGTCGTGTCGTCCACGAATGTCCAGAGGGACGCCTGCGGGGCCACCTGGTGGGCCTTTTCCAGCACCCCGTGGATGAACACCTTGGCCAGGGATACCCCCCTCGCCGACCCCGCCACCGCCGAGCGCGTCGGCCAGACCAGCTCGCTGATGCCGTGGCGCTGGTCCTTCAGGATGCGAGGGCCCAAGAAGAGCTCCACCTCCATGGCCACGACGATGGCAGGGTACTTCACCTGCACCGCCAGCTCCATGAGCAGCGCCAGGCTGATCGTGTCGTAGAAGGTCTGGAGGTCGAGGAGGAGAGTGGCCGACGCCAGCTGCATCTCCCTGCCCACCTCGTCGAGCAGGGCACGGTACAGCGCGGCCCTGAGCGCAGAGCACCCTCGCAGGGCGCCGTCCCAGAATGCCCCGAGCTGCTCCGTCCAGTTGTCCACGATACTGCCTCGAGCTTTGCTCCGTATCTTGGGCATCAGGGCAATCATGCCCAGCACCCTGTCGCCCCCAGCAGGCTTCGGAACAGACGCCGCCACCACCGCCATGCACTGGCGAGGCCAGACGCCCTGGGCCTCGGCATCGTTCATCAGCTGCCTCAGCTCCTCGCGCGCCTCGTGCGGAAGCCTCTGCACCTCCGTCGAGCTCAGCACGTCCACGCCCATCGCCTTCCTGCCGTTTATGGAGTTCAGCGCCCTGTCGAACTCCTCCTGCTCCACTGGCGGGTAGTCCTCCTCCTTCGCTACCTCCAGGATCCTTTGCAGCTGCCCCTGGATGTCCTCCAAGCTCACCTTCGGGTCTTGCCACAACCCTCTCCATTTGGACGCCCGGTCATTCATGATCGTCCTGGGGTCCGCCGTGGTGGAGGTGCCCGTGCAGATCTCGTTGATGATGGTCGGCTCGTCTTTCACGTGCTTGTGCAGCACCCCCATCTTGTCGCTCCACATCTCCTTCACCCACTTGGTGTAGGCCCTTCGTGCTTCCCCCATCGCGCGTGCTTGCCCTGCCGCCGCCAGCGTGCCCGTCAGCTCGAGCAACTTCTGTCGGTGCGCCGCCGAGAGGGTCTCGACCTTGACCATCATCTTCTGCCAGACCATGAAGCGCGCGCTGCCGAAAAAGTCGGCCATGCCCTGGTCCAGCGTCTCCTTGGCGATCCTCTTGAGCTTGCAGCTCACCCGGCCTCGCTGAGCCTCATCGCGCCTGCCACGCGCGAGCGTCTGGTACCTCTGCATCAGCGTGAGCACATAGCACATGGCGTCAGACTTATGGCACTTCATGTGTGCCCTGCCTGGCGTGACCTTCGCTTTCACCCACTTCAGGTCGAAGCCCCTCCCGCGCCCCAGGTAGCGCGCCTTCTCCGACTCCTCCACTTCGTGGACGGCCAGCAGTGCAAGCTCCAGCTTGCTCACCCAGTTGCCGTACCTATGCGAGAGGTCCTTCTCCTGCTCCTCGCGGCCCTGGTAGGCGACGTGGTCGTCCAGCTGCTGCACCAGGCCCGTGTACGTGCCCACAACGGGCCCTCGCCCAGCGTGCTCCGGAAACGCCCTGCCGGAGCACGTTGCCCAACGTGCTCCGGCAACGCTCTGCCGGAGCACGTTGCCGTCTCGTCTGTTCTGGCCGTCGCTTACCGGGTGGACTGGATGGGCTGGTTGGGCTTGCGGGTGACCTGGAAATCCTGTCTGCACCAGCTGCTCCTCCGCCTGCCTCCAGCACTCCAGTGGCACCTGGAAGGGCGCCTTGGGCTCCTGGCAGACCTCATCGTCCTCGTACAGCTTCATTAAGGCCTCCTGCTCCTCCGGGGGGAGTCTCGACTTCCTCTCCTGCAGCTTCTTCTGCTTCATCTTGCTCGTCTTGCTGTTGGGGTCCGCGCTCTTCCTCGGCCTCTGCGTCCGCGGCAGCGCCCTGGGCACCACGAGCGCCCTCACCCACCATTCCTGGTAGGAGCCTTTGAGTGTGATGAGCAGCGCGCAGTGCACCTTCCAAGGCACCTCCAGCTCCGCCTCTACCATCACCTGGTCCGCAAAGTCCTTGCGCACCAAGCAGTAGTCCAGCAGAGACCCCTGCTCCCCTTTGGCGCACGTGACCTTCGTCCCCTGCGCACGTGACCTTCTGCGGGAACTCGCTCTTCAGCAGCTGCTCTGGGTCCAGGTTCCAGTCCGCCGCCACGATCCACGGGTCGTCCACGGCCTTCAGGAAGGCCGCCAGGCTCACCAGCTTCTGGGGGTTCGGGGACCCCTTCCCCCACTGGGGCGCCATGTACGCCGTCACGTAGACCACATTGCCCGCCGTCGCGTGGATGGTGGTCGCCACGAACCCGCGGAAGGGATCGTCTCTGCCTCGCTGCTGTGTTGCCACTCGCACATGATCAAACGAGGTCGTCTCCAGATGCCGCCTCGCTATTATCATCTCTCCACCACAGCACCCCGTCTCACTCAGCCCAGACGGCCGCGCTGCCGTGGCCGTGGTCTTCCAGCAGTCCCGATCGAGGTCGACCGTGACCTTCTTCTGCTTGTCGGGCAAGAGGTGGGTCTCGCAGATGCCCATCACACTTACCTGTGGGTGTCGCTCCTGATACTCGTTCACGTACTTGTGGGCTTGTGGGCCCCACTTCTCCACATTCGCAAAGAAGAGCTGGCGATCGCCAGCCGTGCGTGACGCTGGCCTCGCGTCAGGACGTAGATCGTCAAAGGTGCGACGGTCTATCCTGGCTGGCAGCTGCTCCACTCTTGCCTGCGCCTGCACTCGTCCCAGCAGCAGGAGCGCCAGCAGGAGCCGCAGCAGCCCCCGCAGTGCCTGGCTTGCCCTTGCCGCCCCCCTTGGCGACGGCGACGGCGCGCTCAGCCTTGACCTTCGCCTGGTAGTCCAGCAGCACCTGCTTCCTCCTCTGGGCTGCCTCGGCGTCTGGGGCAGCCGCTGGTTCCGCAGCCGCTGCTCCTGGCTCCGCCGCTGGCTGCTCACCAGGCTCCTTCTTGGTGGCTTCGCCTGAGGCCTGGCCGTCCTCCGTCCTGCGCTTCTTCCGGAGCTGCTTGCGCAGGCTGGGGAGCTGCTCGACCTGCTGCACCAGGAGCTGCTGGTGCTGCTCCGCCTGGTCGCGCAGCTGCTTCGCCTCCTCCGCGTGCTTCCGGCGAACCTCTGCCTGCTGCCGAGCGAGCGCCGCCTCTGCCTCCTCGATCTTCTGCAAGGACGTCTTCCCCGCCTGCTGGATGTCCGCCAACTTGGTGCGGAAGGCCAACACCGCCTCCTTCTCTGGGCCGTCCTCGTAGTCGTCCAGGTCGGCGTCCAGGAGCCGGTCATCCACTGAGAAGTCCAGGATCGTCTGCACTTCAGCCTGCGCAGGCTCCTCCCCCTCAGCCTTGACAAGCTCTCCCTTGCCCACCTGCTTGTAGTAGGCCGCCGAGGCCTTCGCGCGGGCCTGATCCGCATCGAAGGCGTCCTCCAAGGCCTGGTCGCGGCGGAGGAGCGCCTCATCGTGGAGGATGGACAAGCGCTCGAGCTCGTCCTCGCACTCCAGCAGCCACTTCTGCGCCTTCTGATGCTGTCCCTTGGCCTTCGTGAGCGCCTGCCATGCATCAGGTGGCCTCGGCTGAGGCGGCGGCGGCGCATGCTTGCGCTGGAGCTCCTCGATCTCCTTGGCCAGCTGCTTGTTCCCCCCTGCGAGGAAATCCAGCGCCGCCGCCTTGCCATCGCTTTCTCCTGGCTTTGGCCCCCACCACGCCGCCGCTGAGCTTCCCGCGTGCTGCTGCCCGTAGTGGTTGCTGCGCCAGGGCGGCTTGCCCTGGAACGGTTCCAGCCACGCGCCGCACTTACACTGCCCACCTTGCTTGTCCAGCCGCCAGTTGTACACCCATTGGCCACACTCATTGCAGACTGTGAAGGGTTTACTCTTGGGCATTCTCAGGCTGAGCCCCAACGCTGTGTCACTGGCCTGTCCAGTCGTGTCGCGTCTCTCAGCACGCTCAAGATCCCAAACGGCTTAAGCCAGGAGGAGGAGGAGGAGGAGGAGGAGGAGGAGGTGGAGGAGGAGGAGGAGGAGGAGGAGGAGGAGGAGGGGGAGGGGGAGGAGGGCGCAGGGGAAGCAGGCAGATGAGACAAGGAGGCAAAGGAAGGGTAGAAGGAGAGGAGGAGGAGGAAGGGAGGGGGAGGAGGGCGCAGGAGAAGCGGGCAGAGGAGACAAGGAGGCAAAAGGAGGAGGGGAGGAGGAGGAGGAGGAGGAGGAGGAGGAGGAGGAGGAGGAGGAGGAGGAGGAGGAGGAGGAGTACGGGGTAAGACTGGGGAGGTTTGGGAGGAGCTAGGGGGAGAAGGACTAGAGGGATGAGCAGCAGGAGGAGGAGGAAGACAGCCAGCGCGGCCTACACTTGGAAGTCCAGCCATGCTCCTGCGTCGGAATGTTGCTCTCGCTTGAGCGCTGGCCACATCCCTGATCGGGAGTGGTGCGCTGTCGCCTGGGCGCTGGCAACAGTTCTGTCGAAGGAACGGTGCTGTCGCCTGCGCGCCGGCTACACCCCTTTCTGGGATGGCACTCTCGCCAGAGCGCCAGCCACAGCCTTGATTGGGTGTGGTACGAGCGCCAGCCACACCCCTGATTGGGGATGGTGCTGCCGCTCGAGCGCTGGCCGCATCTCTGATTGGGAACGGTATTCCTGTCCGAGCGCTAGCCACATCCTGGACTGGGCCTGCTCGTCTTGCCTCAGCCCTGGTCACGTGCCTGCCTGTGTGTGGTGCTGCAGTTCGAGCGCGGGCCACATCCCTGTTTGGGAATGGTGCTTTCGCCTGGGATTGGTGCTGTCGCGTGCGCGCCGCCCACATCCCTGATTGGGAACAGTGCTCCCGTCCGGTCGCTGGCCACAGCCTTGGTTGGGGATGGTGCCGCCGCTCGAGTGCTGGCCACATCCGTGGTTGGGAGCAGTGCTCCTGTCCGAGCGCCAGCGGCATCCCTGATTGGGAGCGGTGTTCCTGCCCGAGCGGTTGCCGCAATTTTCATGCTGGGAGGCTTATCGTTACCATCTTGGAGGGGTTGTCTGGGTTCCGGCGTTTTTTTTGTAGATTGTTTTGTTCTATTGTAAATGGTAGGTCGCATAGCGTCACGCGTTAGCGCCGCATCCGTCGCCGTCGCGTCTCGCCCCAGTGTGGGCTAAGTGCAGGCCAGTGCCGTCAGTTGTGCAAGCTCGCATGGGGTCACGCCGTCGGGGCCGTCGCGCCGCGTCGCGCCCCAGCGCGGACCCAGCGCAGCCGATCGTCGCACAGAAGCATTGTGGCCATGATGCGCAGCATCACCGTCATCTTTGTCAGCTTCACCATTTTCGCACAGCGTCACCTGGCCCAATACTTCCCGCCCCTCGCGAGGATCGTTCCCCTCTGGGAGCGTCACCTGGCTCTTGATTATTCGGCGCGCCCTTGACGATGACTCGACTGTGCGCTACTACGGGGTGTAGTAAGTCGACGCTGGCGGCGCTGGCTTCCGGCTCGAGCGCCAGCTGCATTCTCAAAAACGTTGTTGTGTGCAATGGTTTGGGCTACATCTGTTGTATGGTTTTGTTGCGGCGCGGTAGTGTCGATTGTTTCCATCGCAGTATCCACGTGTTGTGCACGCACTACGCTTGTTCCTCTCCCATGGTATTCTGTTCGCGACGTTCGAGCACCTCCGAACCCAGAGTTGCGAGGATGACCCAGGAGTTTGGAGGATGTCTCAGGGGACCACCTCGCGATCAGCAGCGGCGAGCCTGCAGTTGCGAGCTTGTCTCAGGCGCAAATGGCTGGACCTCCTCTCGCGTGGCATCTTTGAGCCCTGGCGAGGACGTCTACGTAGAGCGAAATTGGCTGGACCACCTCAGGTCAGGGCGTCTCGGAGCGTAGATTGGCGAGGATGTGTGAGGCGACGAGCCAAGAGTTTCAAGGATGTCTCAGGCGAAATGAGCCGGGCCACCTCAGGTCAGGGCATCTTTGAGTCCAGAGGCGCGAAGATGTCTATAGCGAAACGGGCTGGATCACCTCGCGCGCGGCATCTCTGAGCCCAGAGTCGGGAGGATGTCTCAGGCGAAATTGTCTAGACCACCTCGCGCGCAGCATCTTCGAGCCCAGAGTTGGGAGGATGTCTCAGGCGAGATTGATCGGACCACCTCTCGCGCACTATCTCTGATCCCAAATTTATGAAGACGTCTCATGCGAAACCGGCCGGACCGCCTGTTGCGCGGCATCTCGGAGCCCGGAGTTGCCATGATATCTCAGGCAAAATTGGCACGACCAACTCAGGACAGGGCATCTCTGAGCCTTGCGAGGATGTCTCAGTCGAGATGGGCAGGACCACCTCAGGTCGTGGCATCTCTGAGGCCAGAGTTGTAAGGAAGTCTCACGCGGAATGGGCCAAACCTCCTCAGGTCAGGACATCTCTGAACCCAGACTGGCAAGGATGTTTCAGGCGAAACGGGCTGGACCAAATCAGGTCACGGCATTTGGGAGTTTCAAGTTGCAAAAATGCGTCCGGCGAACGGGCCGGACCTAGACTCGCGCGGCATCTGGGAGTTCAGAGTTGCGAGGATGTCTCAGGCGAAAGGGGCTGGACCATTTCAGGTCACGGCATAGGGTCCCAGAGTTACGAGGGTGTTTTAGGCGAGACGGGCTGGACCTCAGGTCACGGTATTTGGGAGCTCAGAATTGCGAGGACGTCTCATGCGAAAGAGGTCGGACAATGTTTCGTGCGGCATCTGTGAGCCCCGAGATGCCACGCAACTGGTGGTCCTGTCAGTTTCGCCTGAGACATCCTCGCAACTCTTGGCTTGGGGCATTTTTCGCCGCAGACATCGTCGCAACTCTGGGCCCATGTATGTCCTGACCTGTGGTGATGTTCGACTCGCCCGAGACATCCTTGTAACTCAGAGCTCTTCGTTGTTTTCATTTTACTTCTTTTTGTTGACAGGCGTCGAAGGAATCTGCGCATCCCCCTGTGACCTGACGAACGGTTGTGACGAGCAGTTCTGGTGAGTGGTTGGCAAGTGGATTCGAAGTCATGTTCCCGCCGGGGGGCAGCCAGCGCACGCGCTGCGGGGCAGCCGACGCGCTCCCGCGGCGCCAAGACGGCGGCGAGCGCGCGCAAGGAGCAGGGAGAACATTGAAGGGCATTCCCTGGTTTTGTCGTTGCGCTACTGTAGAACTCCCTTGGTAAAGTCCTTGGCGGCGTCGGCGTCGACGACGGCGGCGACGACGAAGAGCCCCGTGGCAGCGGCGACGGTGAAGGCGATGCCGACTACGGTACGACGAACGCGGCGACAGCGACGAGTACGATGACGGCGTGACAGCGTCGACGGCGACGGTGGCGCGGACGACGGGTGCGGGGGCGACCGCAACGACGGCGACGACGGCAGCGACGGCGGCTGCGACCACGATGGCGATGTCGACGACGACAGCGACGACGATCACCACCGCTGCGGCGGCGACGGGGGCGCCGTCGATTTCCTATGTAGACTTGCTGTGAACCTTATGTGGGGTCCGGCGATGGGAGGGAAAGGCAGGGGCAATATAATGAGAAGGCAACGAGGAGGGCGGGGGCGAGGCAGAAGATGAGGAGAAGGACCACGCAACGACGACGACGCCATCATTTGAAACGGTGGCGGCGACGACTGTCACGACCACCAAGGTGAAAGCGGCGCGTGCCGCGATGATGTCAACGACGACGACGACGACAACGACGACGACGACAGCGCCGGCGGCGCTGGCGGCGCGGGCAACGACGACAACGACGACGACCACGCCCAAGACAATGGCGACGACGGCGGCGAAAGCGGCGGCTTCGGCGGCGGCGGCGACGACGAGGACAGCGGTGGTGATGACGACGACGAAGACGACGACGACGACGACGACGACGACGACGACGACGACGACGACGACGACGACGACGACGACGACGACGACGACGGCTACGATGTCAATGGCGACGGCGACGACGACGCCGACGACGACGACGATGGCGACGAGGAAGCACCTCCAGCGCGACAGCTGGGAGGCCAGAGTTGCGAGGATGTGTCAGGTGAAACGGCATTTCGGAGCTCAGAGTCGGGAGGATGCCCCTGGCGCAGTCGGTCAGACCACCTCGCACGCGGCACCTCGGATATCAGAGTTGCGAGGAAGGCCGCAGGCAAAACAGGCTGGACCATTGCAGGTCTCCAAGCCCAGAGTCGCGAGGATGTCCCAGGAGGTGCGAGGATGTCTCAGGCGAACCTTGTCGGACCACTTCGCGTGCAGCATCTTTGAGCCCTGGTGTTGCGAGGATGTTTCAGGCGCAATTGGCTGGGCAACCTCTTGCGCGGCATCCGTAAGCTCCGAGTGGCGACGATGTCGCAGGCAAAATTGGCTGGACCACCTTATGTCCGGACACTTCGGAGCCCCATCGAAGATGTCCCAGGCGAAAAGGGCTGGACCATCTCAGGTCATGGCATCTTCCAGCCCAGAGTTGTAAGATTGTCTGAGGCGAGACGGGCTGGACCATGTCAGATCAGGGCATATTTGAGCGCAATGTTGCGAAGATGTCTCTGGCGAAACGGGCCAGACCACCCTGCGCGCAGCATCTCGAAACCCAGAGCTTCGAGGATGTTTCAGGCGAAATTGGCCCGACGACCTCGCGCGCAGCATCGTTGGGCTCAGCGTTGAGGATGTCTCAGGCGAAATTGGCTGGACCACCTCAGGTCAGGGCATCTCTGAGCTCAGAGTTGCGAAAATGCCGTTGGAGAAAAGGGCTGGACCACTCAGGTCACGGCATCTCGGAACCCCAAGGTGGGAGGATGTCTCACGCGAAACGAGCAACACCACCTCAGGTCATGGAGTTGCCGAGCCCAGAGTTGAAAGGATGTCTCAGGCGAAATTGGCCAGACCACCTCAGGTCGGAGCATCTCTGAGCTCAGAGTCGTGAGGATGTCTCGTGCGAAAGTCTGCGGCGAAGGTAGCAGTGTGGGCGAAGGTATCGTCGCCCATAACTCGCAGCACAGCGCGGCACATCTGAACATAATCCCAGTCAGCACAGTTGTCTGGGGAACCAAGCGAACGGTGTCCAAAGCCGCCTCTGGCGCGTGCCAGCCGAGTGTTGATGGGGATCCGGTCACGTTCAAACTCCGAGATGCCCTGACGTGAGGTGTTCTGGAGCATTTCTTCCAACACGTCCTCACACCTTTGGGTTCCAAGATGCGTTTCGCGAGGTGCTCGCGTCTGAGACATCCTTGGAACCCCAGGCTCCAAGATGCCCCGATTTGAGGTGCGTTGGCCCGATTCGGCTGATCACAACTCAGGGTTCCTAGATGCTGTTCGCGAAGTGCTCAGGCCCGTTTCGCTTGAGACATCCTCGGGATCCAGGAAAACCATTATGGTTTTCCTGGTGATGCTGTTGTCGATGGTGATGATGATGACCATCCTAATTTAGAGAGACAACAAATATCATCTCCATCACCATCATCACCAACACCATCACCATCACCATCACCATACCATCAGCATCATCATCATCATCATCATCATCATCATCATCATCATCATCATCATCATCATCATCATCATCATCATCATCAGCATCACCGTCACCATCATCTTCCGTAGGACATGGCTCAAGCCAGGCAATGTCGTCGTCCCCACGCCCCTCGTCGAGCCGTGCGGCCCCCTTCAGCCCTGCGGCCTCCTCGAACCGTGCGGCCCCCCGAGCCGCGCGGCTTCCTCGAGCCGCGCGGCCCCTTCGTGCGGCTCCCTCGAGCCCCTTGGCCTCCTCGAGCCCTGCGGCCCCCTCGAACCGCGCGGCTTCATCGAGCCGCGCGGCCCCCCTCGAGCCGCGCGGCCTCCTCGAGCCCTGCGGCCTCTTCGAGCCGCGCGGGCCCCTCGAGCTCTGCGGCCCCCTCGAGCCCTGCGGCCTCCTCGAGCCCTGGTTGCAACAGATCGGGCGCCGACGCCGACGTAGTAGTGTCCGACGCCGACGACGCCGACGCCGACGACGCCGACGGAGTTGCCGACGCCGCTGGAGTTTCCGAGGCCGACGGTTGCAATAATGGCTCCAGCAGCGGTTCCAGCAGCAGCTCCAGCAACGGCTCCGCGGAGGGCAGCGGCTCCAGCAGCGATTTGCCCGTAGTTGAAACAGCGCAGGCTAAGGCTAAGGCCGCCCCGAGCAAAGCAGTCGAGACGTTCGAGCCTGCGCCCGTGACCCTGGAGGAGCACGGCAACAGCCACGACTGCCCAAAACACGTCATGACTTGCGGCGCCTGCAGTTTTTGGGTAACAAACAAGATGTCTTGGAGCGCCACCCTGTCTGCGACGAATCCAGTAACCCTGAAGCCTGAAACTTTGACAGGCTGCGCGGGTGGTCAATTTGCAATCTGCTTGTTGTGCTCGGCGTTCAAGGGCTCTCGTTGCAAATCCACCATAGGCCAGGGTGGCGGGATTTTCCGACGTCGCGAGAACCTCGTGCACCACGCGCAGAGCGAGGAGCGCCAGGCAGCAGAAGCGGCACGGCAAGAGCGGGTTCGAGCGGAAGGCGCGCATCAGGGTCTCCCCGCACAGGCGTTCCAAGCCGCAGCAGCCGCGACAGCTTCTTGGAGATCAGCTGCAACAGCTGCGCAACAGCCACGGCCGTCCCAAGCCGCAGCAGCTGCCGACCCGCGCCCTGGTTGCCGCGCAGTGGCCGCCACCCGCGCACTCTTGGAGACGTCCAGTTCCTTCAGAAGTTTCGATGCGCGGCGGCGCTCCTCGGGGGCGACCGCGGTGCTTTGGAGTCTTCGCGAGAGCGCCGCCAGGTGGTGACCGCAATGGCCCAATGCAAAAAAATACAACCCAGACGATTCTCGAAGAGAGCGTGGTTTTCGGTTGGCCGCGGACGGTCTCGACCGCTCGTGCCGGGCCGAGATCGGCACCGCGATGCGATCTATTCCAAAGACTCTGGACTTTCTCCCGGGCAACGGTCTCAAGGCAGGCTAGCTGGAACAGCTGGGTCCTGGAGGGCCCTGGGTCGTGGGCCGGGCGATCGGGGTGCGGGAATTCCCGCGGGCCGTGGATTGCGACGGCGAGGTCTCCATGCTGGAGGAACGCGCGCGTCGCGCGGGCCAGACGGCAGGCGGGGAACTGGCGCTGGACGTGGACTAGAGCAGTATGGGGCCGATCGAAGGCGGCACACGCTTCCTGTCTACGCGCAGGTGGCACGCCGCCCAACAGCATGTCGAAGGGCTCGGTGCCCCAGTGAGCGAGGCAGCCGAGGGCGCCGCAGCAACACCCTGGTCGGATGCGGTGCGCGCGGGCACGGCACGGCGCTCGATAGATCGGAACGGGGGGCAGCTCGCGCACACGCAGCGCCCCACCGAGCGAGGCGGGGGGCACGTGCGGCGCGTCGTTCCACGAGCCCCCGCGGGTGGCGCGACGTGGCGTGGAGCGGCGCACCTTCTGCGAGGCGCATCGCCCTGCCAGCCTCCAGGTGGCCTCCAGAAGTCTCCTGTGGCCTCTGGGATCCCCCTGGGGGGTGCAGCAGGATGGGTAATAACGGTGCGGGATGGCCCACATGCGCCGTCTACGTGCCCAGATGCTTCCAGGATCCTCCCTGGTGTTCCTGGGGCTTCTTGAAGCCTTCCAGGCTTTCAGGGGCTTCCAGGAGCCTGTGCGGCCTTCCAGGATCTTTGAGGAGTCTCGGTGTGCTCCCCTCTGCCTCTAGGATCCTGCAGGGGACCGTCCGATGGCTGGGCGCAGCAGGATCGTCTTGCATCGACACCACTCTGCCCTTCTCGCACTCCGAGACCTCCAACGACAAGCGGACGCAGGCGGATTGCGCGGCACCGCCAACACTCGGGGGCGACGAGCCCCCCCGCCTGCCCTAAGGGCTTCGATCCACCGAGGATTTCAGTTTCTGGAATATGTGGCTGGGCGGGCGTCTCGTTTGGCAAGCGATGCGTTTAAATGAGGCCTCCCCACGCCTCCTTCATCCTGTTCCCTCCTCGCCCTCCTCTCTCTCTCTCTTTCTCTCTGTCTCTGCCTCCCTTTCCGTCCTCTCCCATCGTCTCTCACCATTCCTTTTTGCCGATCGCTCCCACTCTCGCCGTAGGCGCTGCATGAAGAGGAGGAGGAGGAGGAGGAGGAAGAGGAGGAGGAGGAGGAGGAGGAGGAGGAGGAGGAAGAGAAGGAGGAGGTGTGCAGGATGATGAAGAGGAAGGGGAGGAAGCAGAGGCGTGCGGTGGAGGGTCAAGGAGAAGGCGGACCCAGTCCCTCAGGAGGGTCGGGGGAAAATTGACATGCGGGGGACCGTAGCCTTTGGCTCGAGTGGAGGCTAATGACTCGGCTCGACAGTGCTGCCTTGCGCGCCCCAGCGCCTGCCGCGAGCGCTTGTGGCTGCCACGAGTGTCTTGCTCTGCCAGGCAGATGTTCAGCGGCTGGCGCTGCTCGGTGTCGGCCGCGCCTTTTCACCTGCGGCGTGTCTCTTTGACACGCGCCGTGCTTGCTGCAGCGGTGGCCAAAGAGTACTGCGCGGACGCGCTGGGCGTAGACCTTGCGTGCAGCTATGGCCTCAACGAGGAGGCGAGGCGCGCATGGGAGAGCCTCCGCAACCTGATGCCCCGCGCACGCTGGGACCAGGAAATCATGCGCACCGCCATTGAAGGCAGCGAGTTCGGCTTGTGGCTCCAGCGTCAAGCACGCGGTAGGGGCATGACTGTGGGCAACGAGGAGTGGGCGTACGAGTTCGATTGGTTGCAGCCTTTCGGACGCGCCGGCGACGATTGCCTCATGGGCCGATGGGCCTGCTGGCTGATGCAGCAGATAGAGCGTATGCGTGCCGACGACTGGAACGTCCTGATGGATGCGGTGTCGCCGTCAGCGATATCTGAGGACGCTTCCAGCCGTGCGTCCGGTAGCGTCGTGGCCACGCCGGGGGCGCGGATGCAGGCAGTGCAGTCCTTGCGGCATTCTCCGCTCGCAGCACTTCTACTGCCCGCTGTGGACGGGCGGCAGCACCTAGCGTGGAACACGACTGGCCTCTCGCAGTGGGGTCTCTTCGATGCGGTGTCCCACTATCGGGACTACTTCTTGGACCACTTGACTGCGCACGCGACGCACAGGTCCCACTTCGCGGCGTCGTTGTCGCAGGCGGATGTCGCCGTGGAGGATGCTTTAGGCGCATGGGCGCAGCAGGAGGCAGCGCGGGCAGCGAACTTGGCCGGGAATGCCAGCAGCCCTGGCCAGCCCCGACGGCGGGTTCTCGAGGCCACCGCTGCCGTCGAGACCACGCTCCTTGGCTGGACCGGTGCCATCGCAGCGCAGGGCGCGGGAAGTGGATGGCCGCAGGCGTTGGTGGCGGCGCTGATGCTTGACTACAACGTCGAGCTGCTAGAGAAGGTCGGGAGGCTTTGGCTCCCAGGTGCGGTGCTGATCCAGCCCTCGCACGCCGCGCGGCGACACTTCGACTACGATATGAGCGTCGCCTCCAGGTCGCAGGGCTGGCTCGGGCCGTGCCACCTCCGATGTAGCCGCTTCTCGAACTTGCGGGCCCTCTATGGCGTCCCCAGGACAGCGGGGATTGCAAGCTCCCTGCGAGACTGCCCGGGATCTCGGGCGAAGATGCGGTGCGGCGTGGCGATTCGCATTTTCCGCAAGAGGCATCTGATTAGCAGCAGTATCCGGACCAAAGGCACGCTGTACTGCATGCAACAGGTGATCGACGCACTACGGGTTCGAAGCGAAGCCTTGATCGGCTGTTTGTCTGAAGATGTGTCTTCTGGTCTAGCTTCAGGCTGTCAGCCACTGCGCTACGTGGATGCGGGAGCAAATTTGGGCGACTGCACTTTGGCTGCCGCCGTGCTTGTCCCAGAGGGCCACATGCGCGCCCTTGCGCTGGAAGCAGACCCGCGTTTGATTGCGCTGTTGCGGGAGTCAGTGTTGTTGAATCACCTGCAGCCCGACGAGACCCGTCCAAACAGGTCCTGGGTCAAGGTGCGAAGGGCAATGTTGTGGGACTCGCGAGAGATACAGGATTTGGGCGACAAGGCCTTGGACGACGAGTGGGGTGTGGACAACAACGGGGTTTTCAGGGAGGGCGCTGGCCCAAGGGAGATCTTTCGGGGGCGCGTCAGCACCCTGGATCGCGAGGTCCGCAGCTTCGCGGACACCGTAGACGTAATGAGCGTTTTCGGTTTCCCAGGCGGGTGGCTCCCCATGCTGCGGGGCGCGCGGGGCCTGCTGGAGCGCGACCGCGTGCGGTGCCTTTTGGCAAAGTGCGTCGACTATCATCTCGACGAGCCGTGCCGGGGGATCCAGGACTTTCTCTCCCAGTTCAGCTACGTCACGGAGGTGCGCCCTGGGCGGTGGGTGGCTGCGAGCCCGAGCGCGCTGGTGGCCGCTCGGGGTGGCGTCTGCCTCTGAAAGCTCTCGCGTATCCCCGCCAGCCCATCCAGAAACGACCGCCAGGGGAGTTACCGCTGATTAGGGCGAGGGAAATGTAAAGGCATGCATCGGACAAAGGGGTGAGGCAGCCATCAAGCCGAAGTTCGGGATCAGACCGAGCGTGATTATCCGGGAAAGGAATTCAAGCTTGCCGTTGAAGGAGGAGGAGGAGGAGGAGGAGGAGGAGGAGGAGAAGGCGGAGCAGAAATGGGGAGACGGAGGAGGTGAAATTGTTATTGGACGTGGGTTGGCGTCTAGCGTCTAGCCCAAACTCCTTCAAACGCAGCGGCAAGGATGCCGACGTGGTCCCGAGACGAGACTGGAAAGCGAGCGAGAAGGGGGGCCCGAGGGGACGACAAAGCAAGACCGACCCGAACGTCAAACAGTGGCCGAAAACCTCGCAAGGCATGCAAGCTGGCAACGCGAGATCAAAGGCCCAAAGTCAAGCCGCCAACTACATCTCATGAGAATTCGTGTCACGAATCTTCATCCTCACCATCGCCCTCTTCTCCGGAATCCCAAAGTCTGCATAATGCAGAAGAGGCAGGGCGCAGCTCAGCAGCAACTCGGGATATCAATGATGCGCATTTCCGGCAGGAGTCCTTCCCAACCATTTTGCACCGGTCGTTGCAGTCACAGCCGCGAAGAGCGCGAGGCACTTAGCGGACACCTTCGACCGCCGACGTCCACGGATCAGTCCCTGCAGCCCGAGCCGATTCCTTGTTTTTGTCTTTTTGCCAACGAAGGTTCAGGGAGGATAAGCGTCGCCAAGTTTTACGGCGCGAGCGCACAGAAAGCTAGGAGAAGCACGAGGTAGTTGTTGAGGACACGTGCCAAATCGAGCATCCCGCCAAACGTCAGCCGCAGCATAAGAGTGATGCAGATCTTTGGCGAACGTCAGCGGCAGCGGAACATCCGTGCCGATCTCCACGAATTTGTTGGACACGCGGACTTACGGCACGAGTGCGCCTCGGACGAGGAGCAGGAGAAGAAAGAGTACTGGAGGTCTTGCCCTTGACCACATTTTTGCCCTCGTCCACGCACTTATATAATCTAAGCGGCGTCCGGGGCCCAGGCCCAGGGGCGCACACTTTCTCCGAACTCCCCCCCCCCCGTAACCGAACTTCGCCCCCGGGGTGCGGCGCCCGTTCTGGGGAGCCCCGGCGCCTTTTTCGCCCCCCCGCGGCGTCCACCAAGGCTTATGCCCTGGGACGGCTGAGACAGCCCCAAGACGGCCCAGGAGGGACTCTCCTCCAGCGGCCCCTGGGCCTCCCAGTCCGCCCAAGACGGCCCGAGAGACTTCCCGGTCGCCCCGAGAGGGCCCCAGGAGCGCTCCGATGCGGCCCAAGATGGCTTCCAGAAGGGCCACGAGGCCCTCAAGACGCCCCAAGGAGGCTCCAAGAGGCCCTCCAAGAGAGCCCCCAGAGACAAAACTGGTCCCATTCTTTTCGAAAAACATATGTTTTTAGAAGAAAGGCCCGAAGAGGCGCCCAAGAACGCCCCAAGACGGTCAAGGACGGCCTCCAGACGGCCTAGGAGAGCCTCCTGCGATGCTCTTCCGGCGGCCCCCAGGCTTCCCAGTCCGCCCAAGCGAGCCCAAGAGGCCTCCAAGACGCCCCGAGAGAACCCCAGGAGCGCTCCAAGACGGCCCATGCTGGCTTCCAGAAGGGCCAAAAGGCCCCAAGACGCCCCAAGAACGCTCCCAGAGGCCACCCAGGAAACCAAACTAGGCCCATATTTTTAGAATATCCCCTCCCTTCAAGAGCAAAGCGCCCAAAATGGTCCAAGCGGCGCCCTAGGAGGCTCCGAGACGGCCTCAGTGAGCCCCCCACGGGGGACCGGGTCCGGGGGCAGGGGGCCGAGCTTCGACCACAAATGTGGGGCCTGGCGCGCCGGGAGCCCTGCCGGAGCGCCGGGGGCCGTCCAAGATCACCCGAAGATTGCTCGAAAACGCGCTCCGATGGCCCCGGATGCCTTTCAAGACGACTCCCATGACGCCAAGGAGGCCCCCGAAGGCCCCGAAGACGCCCCAAGAGGCACCCGAGAGAGCCCCAATAAGCAAAAACCGTCGACTTCCCAGTGGAAAACTTATATTTTTTGCGTGTTCGCCTTTTGGGCTTCCACTGCGTGCAAGACGGCCCAAGAGGCACCCAAGCCGGTCGAGGATGCCCCCAAGAGGGCTCCAAGACGGCCCACGAGGAGGCCAAGACGGCCCCCGAGGCGCCCAAACCGCCCAAGAACGCCCCAAGGCGGCGCCCAAGACGGGGACGAGGAACCGGAAATTCGCGCCTTTTGGCCCAAGAGACTCCCAGGAGACCCCAAGAGGTTCCAAGAAGCGCCCAAGAAGCCTCAAGAGGCCCCCATGAGACCCGAAAAAACACCAGCAGAGGCCCCGAAGACGCCCCAAGAGGCATCCCAATAGAGCCCAAAATAAACAAAATCATCGATTTCCGAAAGGGGAGCTGATATTTTTGGCCTGTTCGCCTTTTGGGCTTCCACTGCGTCCAAGACGGCCCAAGAGGCACCCAAGCCGGTCGAGGATGCCCCCAAGAGGGCTCCAAGATGGCCGACGAGGGGGCAGAAACGGCCCACGAGGCGCCCAAACCGCCCAAGAACGCCCCAAGTCGGCGCCCAAGACGGGGACGAGGAACCGAAAATGTGAGCCATTTTGCTTAAGAGGCCCTCAGGAGACCCCAAGAAGCTCCAAGAAGCGCCCAAGAAGCCTCAAGAGGCCCCCATGAGACCAGAAAAAACACAAGAAGAGGCCCCGAAGACGCCCCAAGGGGCACCCAATAGAGCCCCAAATAAGCAAAAGTCGTCGATTTCCGAAAGGGAAACTGTCATTCCCAACCATCCTGTGGTGTTGGGTCCTCGATTTGAAGAGACGGTGCCCCGCGTCTCCTTCCTCCTCCCGCTGCCTCCTCCCTCCGCCCTCCTCTCCCTCGTTGCCTCTGCTCACGGCGCACCCCTCACACGCTTCGTGGCCCCATAGAGAGCTCCACCGAAGGCCCCAGTGCTGCCGCCCGCATGCGTCCCGCACACCCATTTCGGCACACCCCTCACACGTTTCGTGGCTGCCCGCGTGCGTCCCGCGCACCCCTTTCGGCACACCCCTTACACGCTTCGTGACCTCATAGGGAGCTCCACCGAAGGCCCCAGTGAGTGTGCCCGCATGCGCCCCGCAGACCCATTTCGGCACACCCCTCACACGCTTCGTGGCCCCACAGAGAGCTCCACCGAAGGTCCCAGTGCTGCCGCCCGCATGCGTCTCGGACACCCATTTCGGCACACCCCTCACACGTTTCGTGGCTGCCCGCATGCGTCCCGCACACCCCTTTCGGCACACCCCTTACACGTTTCGTGACCTCATAGGGAGCTCCACCGAAGGCCCCAGTGAGTGTGCCCGCATGCGCCCCGCAGACCCATTTCGGCACACCCCTCACACGTTTCGTGGCCCTATAGGGAGCTCCACCGAAGGTCCCAGTGCTGCCGCCCGCATGCGTCCCGCACGCCCATTTCGGCACACCCCGCGCACGCTTAGTGGCCCCATAGGGAGTTCTACGGAAGGCCCCAGTGCTGCGTCACCTGCACCGCGCCCCGCCCAGGGGGGGCACGGGCTCTCGGGCTCTGTGACAGCGGATCCAGGGTGAAAAACTACGTCCGGGGGCGTCGTCGTCGTCCTCCTCCTCCTCCTCCTCCTCCTCCTCCTCCTCCTCCTCCTCCTCCTCCCATCTTGCCACACTCGAGATGCAGAGCTAGTAGTCTTCCGTATCAGCTTCGCCCG